GAAAGGGTTTATTCGGCCGAGTAGCTCGCCGTGGGGAGCGCCCATTCTGTTTGTAAAGAAGAAGGACGGTTCACATCGGATGTGTATTGATTACCGAGAATTGAACAAGCTGACGGTCAAGAACCGTTACCCGTTGCCGAGGATTGACGATTTGTTCGACCAGTTGCAGGGAGCATCTTGGTTCTCCAAGATTGATTTGAGGTCTGGATACCATCAGGTGAGGGTACGAGATGATGACGTCCAGAAGACAGCATTTAGGACGCGTTATGGGCATTATGAGTTTGCGGTGATGCCTTTCGGGCTCACCAATGCCCCGGCTGTGTTCATGGATCTCATGAACCGGGTATGCAGGCTGATGTTGGATCGGTCGGTGATCGTATTTATTGATGACATTCTGGTATATTCGAGATCTAGGGAGCAGCACGAGGAGCATTTGAGGGAGATTCTCAGAGTTTTGAGATCGGAGAGGCTTTATGCCAAATTCTCCAAGTGCGATTTCTGGTTGCGAGAGGTTTAGTTCCTTGGACATCTTGTCAACCAGGATGGAATATTGGTCGATCCATCCAAAGTGGAGGCGGTGATGAGTTGGGAGGTGCCGAGGTCACCCTCCGAGATCAGGAGTTTTCTAGGGTTGGCCGGTTATTATCGGAGATTTATTAGGGATTTTTCTAAGATCGCAGTGCCACTTACTAGGTTGACCCGGAAGGGTGTTGCTTTTTCATGGGGCCCCGAGCAGCAGGCCTCCTTTGAGACGCTTCGCCAAAGGTTATGTGAGGCCCCGGTGTCAGCCCTCCCAGAGGGAATGGAGGATTTTGTCGTATACTGCGATGCATCGATTTTGGGGTTGGGAGCGGTATTGATGCAGAGAGGGCATGTGATAGCGTATGCATCGAGGCAGTTGAAACCTCATGAGTCGAGGTATCCCACCCATGACCTAGAGTCGGGGGCAGTGGTGTTTGCCCTCAGGATTTGGCGCCATTGTTTGTATGGGGTTCGTGTACGATTTACACGGACCATAAGAGTCTGAAGTATTTGATGGATCAGCCCAACCTGAATATGCGACAGAGGAGGTGGTTGGATGTGGTTAATGATTATGATTGCGAGATCTTGTATCATCCGGGCAAGGCTAATGTAGTAGCCGACGCCCTGAGTCGTCGGGCGGATAGTGCCCCGTTGCAAGGTGTATGTTTACGGTTGACTGTGATGACTCCGGTGTTGGACACCATTCGAGGAGCACAGGCTGAAGCAATGAGGTCGGAAAACCAGAAGAGAGAACGAGTTTTTGGTTTGATATCTGAATTTGTTACCGATGGTCGGGGGCTTATGACTTCCCAGGGGCGTATTTGGGTACCATTCGTGGGAGGTGCACGTGCCATTTTGATGGAAGAGGCTCATCGGTCGAAGTTCTCGATCCATCCCGGGGCCACTAAGATGTATCTGGATTTGAGGAAAGAGTATTGGTGGCCCTGTATGAAGAGAGATGTTGCGTGGTTCGTTGAGAGGTGCTTAACCTGCCGTAAGGTTAAGGCCGAACATCAGAGACTGCATGGTAAGTTGCAGCCGTTGGAGATTCCCGAATGGAAGTGGGAGCAGATCACCATGGATTTCATCACCAAATTGCCAAGGACTGTTCGAGGAGTTGATGCAATGCAATTTGGGTGATTGTAGATAGGTTGACGAAGAGTGCTCACTTTCTTGCCATCAGTGAGAGTTCGTCTGCGGAGAAGTTAGCAGAGATATATGTGAGGGAAGTGGTGTCTCGGCATGGGGTGCCGATCTCGATTGTCTCCGACCGTGACGTGCGTTTCACTTCCAGGTTCTGGACGAAGTTCCATGAAGAGTTGGGTACTAGGTTGCATTTTAGTACCGCATATCACCCCCAGACCGACGGACAGAGTGAGCGGACGATTCAGACCCTCGAGGACATGCTCCGAGCATGTGTATTGGATTTCGGGGGAAGTTGGGATACGTATTTGCCTTTGGCCGAGTTTTCTTACAACAACAACCATCATCCGAGCATTGGTAAGCCACCCTTTGAGCTGTTGTACGGGAGGAAGTGTCGAACCCCCATTTGTTGGGGAGAAGTCGGGCAACGTGTTATAGGCAACACAGAGATAGTACTTCAGACGACAGAACAGATCCAGCAGGTCAGACAGAGGTTACTGACTGTACAAAGTCGGCAAAAGAGTTACGCGGACAGACGTCGATCCGAGCTTGAGTTCCAGGTCGGTGATTTTGTGCTCCTGAAGGTCTCTCCTTGGAAAGGAGTGATCCGATTCAGGAAGAGGGGCAAATTGGGGCCCCGATATGTCGGACCATTTCGGGTAATCGCGAGGGTAGGCAGGGTAGCCTATCGCTTAGATTTGCCAACATAATTGAGGCAGATTCACGACACTTTCCATGTGTCGCAATTACGGAAGTGTATAGCCGATGAGTCGGCAGTGGTTCCATTAGACGATATTCAGGTGGATGCGAGCCTGAATTATGCTGAGAGACCAGTGGCTATCAGGGATCGAAAAATCAAGGTTCTGAGGAACAGGGAGGTACCTTTGGTCTTGGTTCAGTGGCAGCATCGGAAGGGGTCCGAGATGACGTGGGAACCGGAGCATGAGATGCGAGAGCAGCATCCAGAGTTATTTGCAGAGTGAGACTTCGAGGGCGAAGTCTAGTTCTACTGGGGGAGAATTGTAACAGCCCGGAATTTTCAGGTATTTATTTTGGACTTAAGTATGGAATTTGTGAGTGGACTCGGCGAGTTGGAGCCCAGACTCGCCGAGTAGGATCACGGATTTGGGCGCGGGTTCGCGTCTGGACTCGACGAGTCCAAGAGTGGACTCGGCGAGTCCACGCTATGTGGTGAAACCCTAAATTTCGGGGTTTGCGGCCTATTTAAAGGGCCTTATGGCCGTCATTTGTGCTCACCCAACCCTTAGAGAGAAACCCTTGAGAGTTGGAACGTTTTGAGAGAGAAAGGGAGCCTTATTGACCTTATGTGTGTGATCTAGCAAAGAAGGAGGAGGATCTAAGCAAGAGGAAGCAAAGGAGGCTGCTATTTAGTGGATTTGAAGCTTAGAGCATCAATCTAGAGGTATGAATTCGATCCATTTTCTGATTTGTGAAGGATAGGGAAATCTAGGGTTTCTTATGGACATTTATGGAATGATTTGATGCCAAATAGTCCCCTTCTTGTGTTGAGACTCTGGATCTGGATCCATAGAGGTCCAAAGAGCCTCCCTCTTCCAGCTTTATGTATAGCAATGGAGTTTATGGCCATGAGATATTGAAACTTAGACAAAAAACATCATTTAGGGTCATATAGAGATTGTATGGGCATCAAGATAGTGACTTTACGTGCTAAATAAGCTTGGAGGGACTGGATCTATGTGTTAATGGACTGGATCTGACCTCATGATCAAGTTTTAGTCATTGCATGGCACGGACTCGCCGAGTCCGAAGAATAGACTCGACGAGTAGTATGAATGTTGCCCGATCATACAGCGTGTGGTCTTGCCGAGTTGGGAAGGGTTGACTCAGTGAGTCAGGCGAAAATCAGAGTGGACAGGTGGACTGAGTCAAGTTGGACTTGCCGAGTTGTTCTTGAGACTTGGCGAGTTGAGTCGTGGTGGCCCCACAACTCATGCCAGGAGGGACTCGTCGTGTTAGGGGAATACTCGACGTGTCAAGGGAGGATTTCAGGGAAGTTAGTGTATACGCTCAGACTCGCCGAGTCGCTATATGCACTCGCCGAGTCCGGTCAAAGTTGACCGTTGACCGTTGACCAGGGTTGACTTTTGTTGACTTATTAAGGAGTAGCCAACCTTAGTTGGGAAAGTGTTAATTAGAGATGTATTGTGGTTTAGGAGGACTATAGCTCGGGAGATCGAGCGCTAGTGATTTCAGGACTTACGACTTATCGAGATACGCGAGGTGAGTCTTCTCACTATACTTTACCTTGAGTAGGTAACCAGAGTTATGTGATAGAGTATTTGCATACAATGTATGTTATGTGTTGTACTGCATTATTTCTATGTGATTTATGTTGTACATGTTTACAGAGTTAGAACCTGAGGGTTCACAGAGTTTGGGTGCACGGACCCACAGAGTTACAGCCTCGAGTGGCTAATATGTGTTATATGTGGTATTTTGGGGAACTCACTAAGCTTTGTGCTTACAGTGTTTGATGTTATTGTTTCAGGTACTAGTGACGACCGCGGGAAGGCGCCGGCTTGATCCGTACACACAGACAAAGTTTATACATTTGTGATCTTGGGATTTTGTATTTACTTGAAGTGGATAATTAATATGGTTGTTTTATGAGTATTAAATGAATTATGTTTTACGAAAATTTGAAAATTTTGTTTGAAATTCACAGTGTTACATTTCTCTTCATTTCTTTGCAAGTTAGGAACAAAGACACATAGAATGTAAAAGAGGAGGCAAAAGACACAAACACACACATTGTGTGTGAGGTGCGGCTGCCATAGCTTTCACTTCCATAAGAGTTGCTAAGAGTCGGTGATTCCATCTAGGGTTCGACAAGCTTAATCCATATCTCGACATCTTACCTCCTACATCGTATTTATTCAACCATTCGTGACCATTCTAGAGTTTAACATGTTCTTTAGAATTCTAGGGTTCGACATCTGTTGAGATTCTTTAACATTGTTCACTAGCCTTCTAACCTTTCTCTGGATAGGCATCGAATCCAAGGTAAGAATAGATATGTTACATTACATTATACAATCCTATCATCGATTTGGTTTAATTTCATTTTCCATGATCTGATTCTCATCTATTCATAAAGAAAATTTATGCATTCTAGCCATTCGATGAAATGCCTGACTTAAATTAAACAATTCTAAAATCAAAATAAGAATTTTTAATGTCTTTTAAATAAACGTATCAAAAGCATCCTCCTTCACGTTTTTTGAAAAACGTATTGGAAGAAAAATTAAATTACCAAATATAAAAAAAAATGTTTTTCCATATTTTGGTATATTATGCTAATTTTCCTTCGCTCCTTTTTGGGAACAAATGGTGTATGTTTTGCTTATATACAAGTCTTATCATTTTGACTTACTGATCATATACATGTTTGAGTTTTAAATGACTTGAAGCATCAGGAATCCTTATCTTGTTATTTTCACTTACTGATCACATAAATGACTTGAAGCATCCGTAAGTAAACTTCACTTGTATTCTGCATTTAATTGTTCATATTACACGTCTATACAGTTTATAGCAATTATCTTGTGTTTCTTTAAGTATGGTGTTAGCTATTCCTGGTTTGTAGGTAAAAGGAAGGGTAAAGGGTTTAACATGAAGCCTCCTATCTCTGTTTGCCACTAGGTATCTGATATTCGACACCTTGATATCTAACTCCATTGAAAGACCACCTGTCAAGTGAAGTTAATAAAAGGAATTTTAGGATGAAGTACATATAATACAATAAAAAGCTTTTTTTTTTAAAATGAAAGGTAAGTTGGGAAATAATCTATGGGGTGAAGAATTAGTTATATTAGTGGAAGCCTCAATGGAACCAGCTGTAATATATGTAAAATAGGTGCTTGATATCATAAGCAAGGCGAGCAATAAGGGTATAAAAGGAATTGCACACATACCAGGTGGCGGGTTCATAGATACCATTTTTCGTGTTTTCGCTATAGGGCTTGGTGCTCTTGTTTATAATGACTCTTGTTCAGTTCCCCCTATTTCTAAATGGATCCAAAAGGTATTTAAGTTTTTTTTGGTATTAAAAAAAAAGTTGGTTATTTGTTTTTTTCTAATGATGTTTCGGGTTTTGCCCCTTTTCAGGCTGGAGGGATTGAAGATGGTGAAATGAAAAGGACTTTTATTATAGGAATTGGGATGGTTTTGGTTGTTAGTAAAGAGGTTTCTGAAAGGGTAGTTAAGGAAGAATGTGAGATGTTGTATCGTGTTGGTGAAGTCTTTTCAGGTAATAAACAATTTGACATCATTACCCTTGAGTAGTTTAAAAATGGTACTGAATTGTTTGATGTTTTGACTTTTATTACCGGGGGCAAAAGTGGAATCCACTCCGTGAGAGGTTAGATAGCTATGATTTTTTATTAAAGAACAACTGTATGTTTTTCTGTTTTTTTTTTTCTTACTTAGTTCACGAACAGACATTACAGTTAAACCATCTATAGCTAGCTTTAATTTTCTATAGTTTTTGTTCCTACAGTTTTTTTCCTTGTACAGTTTTTGTCCCTCTAATAGTTTTGGTCCATGTAACATGTTGCAATAGTTTTGGCCCATGTGATTTTGTCTCATTTATAGTTTTTAACCCTATAACAACTGCATTAATTTTTCCATGGCAATATGTTCACCAAATGATTAAAAGTTCTTTAAATTGTTCCTTGTGGTATATCTTTATTCTAAGTCATGAATATTTTTGATTGAATAACTATGTCAGATTCTCCACGTGATTCAGTTCAATTTATTGAATGGTTACCTTCATCTTGCCCTCATGCCTTGCTAATTGCTAACTTTCATGGGAGAATAACTATCTGGACTCAGCCTTCCCATGTAAGCTTTGCCTTTTTTACTTCTAGTATCTTCTTTCACTATTTGTGTACATCTTACCTCCTGCTTACCTCATTCTTTTGGGAGTTGTTTTTTTTGTATGCAAGTAATACTATTGGTTTAATGTTTGTTTTTCTTTACTGGAAAAAGTATTTGTAGAAAAGATTAGCCATTATTTCTGTTTGGACTAAGTTATCTTGCCAAGTTCTTTAGGTTGACACACTAACATTAGTATTGACATTGAGAGTGATACTGACATTGACATGTTTAATGATACTCCAAAGACTAGCACCACCAATCATATTCATAAAGCTTATGGAAGCTCTGATCGTTTGCCTTCTACTCATACATGGTAAGATAATCATGTTTTTTTTGTCAAATTACCTTTTTGCCCCTGAATGACATGATACCTAAAAAGTTCTTTGTGATTTCTGAAAATTTAGCCTGATCGTAGATATGAGTCGTAGCCTTGACTTGGGTATTTGCAGGCACTGCCAAATCCTTCATGAACTGTGAAAAAGTTGGAGATTTTTTGAGAGGCTACAACAAAATCAAGAAGCTCTGCTTCAACTTTTTCCAATGTTTTAGCTTTTGCAGCTGCAATATACACAGGAATACTAATAGGGATGTATACCAAACTTGCTGTTTTTATTCAGATTTTTAAGGTTATGGAATTCATTGGCAAGAAGGAAGGGTTACAACCTCCTCCTGGATTTGCTGCTCGCATAACAAAAAAAATCTGGTCGGAGTTTAAGGAGGTCTATATTGTCATTTGAGACATGTCGTGTCCAACAGTTAAGATCACTTTGACACTATTTCTTGTGTTTACTTGTGGTGTTATTTAAAGGAATGATGATATGTGATTTTTTATTCTCATCTGTACCCTTTTACTAATAATCAAGTAATTCCCCCAATAGACTGGGAAGAATTTGTATATGAGATAACATCTGACATTCTGAAAGAGCAGAGCCCTAAAAGGTTTATATATTCTATATTTATACATATCATACACTATGTATATGCTGTAATTATATATTTTTACTTATTTTTATGTGTATATGTTTATATAGGCTGTTCCAGGTTTGGGGAAAATTTTATGAGTTACTTGTGAATTGTATCCCTCCTAAAGTTATATTGAAGGTTGTAATCTCTCCTCTCACAAAACTAGTCTGGATTTGGTTTTGTTGTAATTGAAAGTGAATGTTTTTATTGATATGATTCAGAGGCTACTTCATGAAGTGCTGAAGAGACTAGATTCTGAATTGAAGCATGAGGTTTGTCATTGGGCAGCATATTATGTGAGTTCACTGTTCATGGTATTGTCCCATTAAATCCATATTTTTTTTAAAACATTATTCTTTTAGTATTGATATTTTTTTTAGGAACATAATATGTGCCTTGGACAGAAACCCATATTTCACATTGAAGGTACTTTTTTCTAATCACTTGAGTTTTAAAATAATTTATAGCGATTGCTATTAACCATGCATGCAGTAGACTGAACTGTTGCATTGATTAAGCTCACGAGGGTTGTTTTTGTTTATAATAAAAAATGGGAAACAACTTTTGGTTATGCTCATGAAAATACATTGTTTTTTCTTGCATCTAACCCTATAAAGTGATATCCAATATCTTTTGCAGATGGATTATATAAACACTTCACACCCGAATTTTATTGGTGGGAGTAAAGCTGTTGAAACAACAATGCAGTTAGTGAAGTCTTCTAAAATTACAACCACAAATTCAAGGCAAAAAGGTGAAACTCTAAACTCTAAATAGTATGATTGATAAAAAAAATATATTTTAATCAAGTTCTTGTTAAAAAAATATATTTTATGAAAATGCACTTGAAAAATGAAAAAACATATAAATGAGCACAAATTTGTAAAATTTAGGACTTCATGGTACTTTCTCTATTAATATCAACTATTTTTTCTACATTAAGTAAAAACGAAACAACTATATATAGGTGAGGTGTTGTTATTAGTCCATAGAAAATCACTTTTTTATTGGCAGATTGAGATGGTGTAGAAGATTATTGCATACATGGCAGATTGAGATGGGTAATCATGTAACAGATTGTTCTTTTTCCTTTTCCACATATGACCTACCACAAGGTTGATACTTGTTGCATTCTCCTACATATCTCAATAAAATATTGTATAAACCTTGATGAAATTTATTTAATGGTGTGTTTGTATGTCAAGGTGATGATAATACTGTTGCACATTGTGGGAAAGGGGAAAACAAAATTTTAATTTGATGTGAAATAGGTTGCTTCAGCAAAGCGGAGAGTTGATGAGTACAAATATACTCAGATGATGCAGGAAACTGGTGGTTATCAGTCCATGTAAGTTTCTTGATTTGTAACATCTTCTATTCAAGAAATAACAATGTACTTTCCATAAAAAAAATTATAAATTATATTCTTTGAAAAATTTCCTAGATTGGTAGGTTTAAAAGTAGAATGTCCTAATAAGAATTATTTTTAAAAGTAGTACGAAAATGACAAGTGATTTTGTGTTGTATTTATAGGGTTGATGAAAGTGAATTGCTCTGGAGTTAAAAGAGGAAAAGAAAGCTCAAACTGAAAAAGATAAGATGCTGCAAATGCAAGTGTTGCATTCTTCATTTCAATTGTTAGTTGTAGTTTAGATGAATGCAAATTTATATATTGTAAGAAATAGAATTGTATGACATTAAATTTTATGCAATGGATTGCATTTTTTGTATAAGGTATTTTATTTCTACTATGAGACATTAAATGCAAATTTAATTTAAAAATTAATAAATATATAAATATTTTTTTTGAACATTTAAATTTACGATACGCAAAAGTGTGTGTCATCTTCATTTATGACATGGCCTTTCTTGACAGGGGTTTTAATGATACGCATTGCGTGTCGTAAATGCGTGTCATAAATGTGTGTCGTAAATGCGTGTCATAAATGTTTGTCGTAAATGCGCGTCGCCTATAGACAACGCGCAAAAGCGTGTCGTCTCTCGTTATGACAGAGCCTTTCTTGATGTGCATTTGCGCGTTGTCTGAGTGTTTTGCGACACGTATTGCGCGTTGTAAAAGGCTGTTTTCTAGTAGTGTTAGAGTCAATACCTGTGAACTCACCAACTTTATGTTGACATATTTTAAAATGCATGTGTTTTCAGGAAGTTGATAACTATGATACAAGAAATGGCGTTACACTACCCGGTGTTTCCGCTGACGGCCGGGGTGTGACAAAACCTCAAGAACAATTTGATGAAGATAATGCGGAAAATAAGAACGAACACAATAATGAAGATGTGATTGATGAACAAAATATTTTATTCAATAACATGAGGAAATTACACTATAAGAAAAGATTAAAGTAAATCTATTCTACCTAAGAAACCTCATTATGATTGGCGGCTACATCTTGCCTCACTCTTAACCCTAATAATGAATATTAGATGACTATTTATAGGGAATAAAACAAATATTGGACCAATAACCTACATATCATCAAGGGGGGCCATTGTCATAATCCATGGAATACTTTGAACCCTACATTCTTCCCCTCAAAGTATGGAACGAATGATAACGCTTCAACTTCCAAAACAAGCATCTAGCAAATAAGAAAGGATCTCGTGACGAGGAATATCAAAAGCGATCCACGAATCTTGATTCTTCAATAGTCTTCAAACCGGGTTCTAGGATATTAATACGAAATCAAGAACTGAAGTAATGTTTTTAAACTTCATCTTCTAATCTAATCCCAAAGATTTTCAAGAAAGTTAAACCCGCCATAAAAACCCATTTCGGAATTAAGAAACAAAATCACTTCTTGTCTTTGAAGAACTCCCCCTCCAAGTCACAACGATCTTCAAATAAGCTAATGATATAAGGCACCAAAAATATCATGTAACAAACCAAATTTAAGATTCGTAATGTCATTCGATCGAGAAATCACTAAAAGTAAGAGATATATATCAAAGCTTTAGAAGATTTCATCTTGAACTTTTCTGTAAAAGCTACTTCTCTATAAAAGTTTTAGAAGAGTTCATCTTGAACTTTTCTGTAAAACCTTCCTTCATATCGCTACCACAAGTGTCATAAAAAATCTTCAAATTTGAAAAGTCACAAACCAATTTCGAATGGCCATATGAAATTCTCCCCTTTTTTTATAATCAAAAAATGATTATAAAACCTTCAAATGGTCATAAGAATGATCTTGAATTGGATAAACAATTACTATACTCCCCCTCGACAAAATGGAATAAACATTGAAGTTGAAAATCTGAAATAGTCGAAAAAAATGACTTTATTGCAAAAAACGACCTTCCGAACTGCCATGACTTGTTGGAATCCATAATTTTCTGTTCAAGAAAAAATATGTTCGCTTAAAAATCCAAAATTGTCCATCATCCCTTAAATTTGTAAACATTTTAGAATATTGGGCAGAAACTGTCACTTTGCTGAAAGTCAAGGAACTGAAATGGAACACTCCATCATTTTCATTTTAATTAGTAAAAAATTCCGAAATTGAACAAAAACTGTCATGTTGATGAAGTTACAGGGACCGAATGTGTAAATTCCAGTTTTCTTCCCCATTTATTCTGATTAAACAAACACAACAACAACGACAGTGAAACACGACTTCCGATTCCGAATCCACGAGTAACATGAAGACGGATTCCGAGATAAAATGAAAGTCCGAACTCTGATTAACGCCAACATTTCGAGCACCAGTTCCTTTCCGATTGAAGATCTGAGTTCTGATTCCGAACATTCATCATAGCCATTCCAAATACAGTGATTTAAGTTCTGATTCCGAATGAACTTTCCGATAAACTCTTCCGATTCCGAGTACCAGTGAATTCCGAACACCTACCGATCTAGATGTGAGTTACAATTCTGAGACCCCTTTTGTTCTGATTAATCTTCCTCTTCGTTACCATAAAATCGTAAGCACCAAATTTTGACTTTTATCTTTGACAGACAATTATTGAGTTCCAATTCCGATTGTGAAACCCTTCATCGAACACAATACCTGACAATCACCAAAATCATCTTCTTCAAATCATTTCCAGATCAACAACCCATTTTCAATCAAATTAAACACCATATTCATCTATTCTTCACCTGTTGTTCATCATAAGTCGACTAAATTGGAATTCAACATGCACCAAATCGCCACTTCCAAAAATCGATCACAACAATATCATCTGAAAATTTCAAGTTCAACACAAGTTAAATTAATCGAAAAATCAAATCAACTGTAAGAATAGGAATGAGAAAATCGATGAAAAATATGATCTTGGATTAAAACTAAAAAAATCGATTCATGAGAATTGATGTACACACGTTGACAACCATTAACCTCAAACGATTAATAGAAAATCATCGATTGTTGATTTTGAACTGAATACTCAATGAACGATATCAAAAGCAAGTGACGCATATGGGAACATGTGATAGTATTAGGGATAAAAAGAATGGATCATGAACAGTAAAGGGCCAAATTTTATGGGCCAAAACGAATGAAACCGATCTCTCAATGCAATATATTGATTTTGGATTGAACAAATGATCAGATCCTATAGAAAATACGAACAAAATATGAATCCGATTGAAAAGAATATCATAAATCCTCAGGAACAGTAGCTTGAATAAGAATCTTGATTCCAAACTGTGAAAACATCATAAATCTTCAATAACTTGTGCAGAAAATCATCAAATCAAGAACCGATAATTCAAAAATCAATTGATCTTCAAAGATCCGCTCTGATACTACTTGTTAGGTCAAAACCTCAAGAACGATTTGATGATGATAATGCGGAAAATAAGAATGAACACAATAATAAAGATGTGATTGATGAAAAAATATTTTATTCAAGAACATGAGGAAATTACACTATAAGAAAAGATTAAAGTAAATATGTTCTACCTAAAAAACCTCATTATGATTGGCGGCTACATGTTGCCTCTATTAACTCTAATAATGAATATTACATGAATAGGGAATAAAACAAATCTTCGGCCAATAACCTACATATCATCAAGAGGCCCATTGTCATAATCCGTGGAATACTTTGAACCCTACAAGATACATGGCATTATAGTGAGGTAATAGGTATGAAAAACTTGTGTCTTGAGATACATAAGTTTGAGCACAAAATACCATTTCAATTCCTTATATAGAATTTATATTAAATCAAAAATTGATAAAGTTTCATATTGAAACACATTTCATATAGCTTAAGCTTGTTGTAATTTGAAATCATTTATTCACCTTTACTTTAACTCATATATCATGCCTATATGAAATGTATTCAATGCATATCCATACAACAATGAAACCTTTAGGGAGTACATATAATTATGTTACGCCATTCTAAATTTGTTATTTCATATGAAATGAAACCTTTGGGGAGTACATAAGATTTTATCACAATGGTGATACCCCAAGTAAATAATAGTAAGAATAAATCAAATTATTATGATGATAGATTCATAAGACAACTTCATCATAAAAGGAGGTATCATCCCAGTGAAGTCTTTTGTATCCATATCTTTGCGATATGATGTTGTCTAGACTTTCGTTACCATAACAAAACTCCAAATTAAATGTACCTATGGGAACACCTCTTTTTTGTGACATCCCTATTTTTACGGCCCAAAAATATGTTTTCTTTATGCTTATTTTAAAATAAAGTATTCTTTATATTGCGGATTTGTCTCATAAAAAATATTTCCAAAGAAATGTTTTTCATTGATTATTAAAATTTTTTGGGATGTCATAATTGATATAACAAACATAAGCATAGATATAGTCATTACATACCTTACAATATATTATTATACTAATGGATTATATCTCCTCGAATCTCTCATCTAATCCAAAACACCACTATCCATGTACCTTCAAACTACTACCTATGAGACAAAGAAACTGAGTGGGTCAAGAGATCACTTTGGAAATATATTGTGTCACTTAATTTACTTTACAAAAATAAGCATGTTATAAATTTTGTTTATTGGCAACTTGAAATATTTGTGAAACTATGTGTGCCTTTGGGTCGAATACGATTCACATAAAACAATATCGTATAAAACTTAATGTATTTACAACCAAATTTGATAAAATAATAGATGTAACTTTGATAACAATATTGTATTAATCACTAACCAAAACATGATATCAATAAATAAGCCAATTGATAATTAAACAATAGCAAGATTGCAAGAATCAAAATTATCAAAATATGATATTTTTTGTAGGGAAAAATGTTAGCAGAATTTACAAAATCTCAAAAGCACTGGGTAGTGCTCTAACTCAAGGAGAGATAAAACACATTAAAATCAATGAAAATCAAATATTTGATTACTAGGTGTAAAACTTGTGTATTACACGTGTTGATTAAACAAAAGATTAAATATTAAAATGTAAACACTAAGTTTTTTTGAAAATATAACTTTGAAATGAGAAAGAGAGAAGCCTATTAATTACAATTACTAGCACATTTATTACATTAAATAATTTACATATAGAAGTATTATGTGGATATGTAATTTAAATTTGAAAAAAA